GTTTCACTCTGTCTTTTTGTGGGTTCTGCTGCTTTAGAATTTGTTTAGAGCCATTTTTTATAGTATTTGGAGGGGTTTTGGGGACAGCTCAAGCAAGTTACTACTTTTACTCTGCCACCTTGGCTCCACCCCCCAAATAGCTCTAATTTTTAAAAAAGACTTTCCTATCATCAAGTTTATGTTCTCCTCTTTGCTACTTACACTAAGCATTCCTAATTTCACCTTCTGGGCCCAAACAGAACAACTGTAATCTCTCTCCTATATGATAGCCTTTAAAATATTTGAAGGCAGCTACAATGTCCCTTCTGAGGCCTCTCATCTTCACAGATGTTGTCTCACAGTTCCAAGCAAAGTTACAAGAGCTGTAATTCAAGGAGCTATCTAAGCTTAAAGGTGAACCTTGATAAAAACAAGTGAAATAAACATGCCTTACAACAAAAAACTGTACCATTCCTTCCTCTCTAAAAAGACCTTGTGGGCTACAGTTGAGAGACTTCTAGGGTACAGGCTGAAGCCTTGCAGACCAAGAAGCAAAAAAAAGGACAATGACTGCAAGGTTTCTATTCAGGAAAGGGGCCAGAAACACTGGATTCATAGTGAAGGGCCAGAATCTGCTGCTAGAGATTAAGAATAATGAGCTAAGGGGCTGGAAATAGGAAGCAGTGAATGGATCAGAAGCCTAAATTGGTGCTGGTATCAGAAAAAAGTTTAAGGAACCACTATTGAGATCCAGTCTCCTGAAGGGTTCAATAGTAGGATAATGGAGAGGGTTTTAGTTCTACATAGGGTTCACATTGTTTACAGCACCCAATTTCTTGTGAGTTCACATGTGTTTTTATGCCTTACTACATGAAGCTGGCCCTGCCCTCAAGCTTCACCTAAATTAGCTACAGATGGATGTCTTCCATTTCATTTTATTTCATTTCAACAAGCATTTATTATGTGCAAAGTGCTAGGGGTAGAAAGATAAAAAATGAAATGATCCCACTCTCATTGACTCAGAACCCTCTAAGGAAATGGTCATCCTTAAGAGGCAATGGACACACATATATGTAAATGGTTTGGAGATTAAAGAGGTAGGCAAATGCCAAACAGAGGGATCTATGGTTAATTCTACTGTTCACAGAGAGATTGCCCCATGGATTTCATCATGAAGAGGAATTTCATGGTCATACTTGCACTTTAGGAAAATCACTTTGGCAGCTATGTGGAGGATGGGTTAGAGTAGGAAGATAAACCAGGGAAACCAATTAGGAGATTCCTGCAATAGTTCAGGAGAAAGGTGAACTGAACTAGAGGTTAAATGCATGAGTGATAAGGAGGGGATATTTGTGAAAGATGATATGGAGAAAGAAGTGACAAGATTTTGCAGATGACTGGCTATGTGGATGAAAACATAGAGGGAGGATGACCCTGAGGTTATGTACCTGGGTGACCAAGAGGACAGTGGTGCACTGGACAGAAGTAGGGAAGTCCAGGACAGGAATGGATTTGGAGTGGGAGGTGAATAATGACCTCTGTTTTATACACTTTGAGTTTGAGGTGCCTATGAGCCATCCAGTCCAAAATTTCCAACAGGCAGTGAATCCAGAGAGAGAGTAGGACTGACTATATATATTTTGGAGTAATCAGCATAGAGATGATAAATGAACCCTTGGGAGCTGCTGAGGTCATCAAGTGACTTTAGAGAGAAAAGAGAGCCCAGGACAGTGCCTAGGCAGAAGGACACCTGCAATTAGTGGGGCATGGCATGGATGATAATCCAACAAGGTGCACTAAAGAAAGATCAGACAAATAGTAGATGAGAGAGGGAGGGAGGGAGGGAAGGAGGGAGAGAGAGGGGGAGAGAGAAAGAGAGAGAGAGAGAGAGAGAGAGAGAGAGAGAGAGAGAGAGAGAGAGAGAGAGAGAGAGAGAGAGAGAGAGCAGTGTCATAAAAACCCAAGTGGAGTGAATGTCATAGCAAAAAGATCAAGGAAGATGAGAACTGAGAAGATATTGAATTTGACAATTAAGAGATCACTGGTAATGTGGGGTGAGTAGTTTCAATGGAATGATGAGGTCAGAGGTCAAAATGGCAAGGGTTTAGAAGACAGTGAGAAGAAAAGAATAAGCACCTGGTATAAATAAACAGCTTTTGGGAGGAGTTTAGCTGAAAAAGGGAAGATAGAATGACAGCTATCAGGGATGATAGGAACTAATGAGGATTGTTTAAGGATGGGGAGACTTGGGTATATTTGAAGGCAACAGAGAAGGGATCTGAAAATAGAGACTGAAAATTTGAGAAAAAGAAGGCAATAATGGGGGGCAATCTTTTGGAGAAGAGTACATGTGGAGAAGGCCTTAGGGAGCAGAAGGCCTACATCATCATCCAGAAGGAGACTAGGAGTGGGGGTGGTGGTGGGCTGATGTCAAAGGAATGTGAAATGAGGAGGTGGGATTGTCAATGTGGGGCACAAGGGAGAAAAGAGAGTGAATGCTTTGGCTTTTTTCAGTAAAGCATGAGGCCAGAACCTAAGCCGAGAGGTTTTGGGGAAGAAGTATTGTGAGACGCTTGATAAGAGAAGAGAAGACCTGGAATAGCCATTGAAGAGAGCAGGATGCACAATCATTTAGGGAGGAGTAAAAGTATTGCCACACTTCAGTGAGGAGGCAGTTGATATTGGATTGTTTTTTGTTCTTTGTTTTCAAAGAGTACCAATGACATCATGGGTGATGTTTTGACTTCTGCACGAAATGGATTTAAGTGAGACAGAGTTGCACAAAACTGTCAGTCTCTCTCTTCCTGAGAAGAGTCCAGTGGCAGGGCAAGTCAAGATAACTGGCAATGGTCTAGGATGCAATGGATGATTTTGGTGTCTTCAATGCCTGACTAAGTTTTAAGCACGCCATAGCACCTGCTTCAGCAGTCTTCATGGCCGTTGGAACAAACTGTTCTTATCTGCCTATTCCACTGGAGGAAGTCTTCACATGCTTGGGGTAGATACCGCCCCTATGCCCCCCAAATTACAGTGGGTTTGATACCCCTCAGTTATCCTCAACCTGGTTTAGTCTGTCTGCTGAGACAGTTTACCAGAGTGTGGCTGCTGCCCATGCTACAGCTTCTTGGAGCCACAGGTGAGAGGGGTGAATCAGGTGAACACCAAAGGTGGATGAGCATCCCTGAAAGGGGCTTGGCAAACCCTCAAACTAGAGATGCTTGTCCTCCCTGAATAACCCACACATAACATCCACTTGGACCCAGATGTTCTAGGCGCTGCGGATGACACTTGAAATACAAAGAAAACCTAAATATTTCCTGTCCTCAAGGAGTTAACAACACTCTCCAGCAGACATGTACCTCTGCTCCACTGGGTTGCTAGATCAGTGTGCTGCTGTCATCTTATCTGTAGAACTGCACTGATCTGTAGTCCCATCTTTCAAGTCTAGCCAATGCCTATTCCCTCTTTCTTCTTCTGGTCAAACCTTGTGCTACTCCTGACTCTTCTGGGTTAGCACTCTCATGGTTAGGTCACATTTATAATATATGCCCTGCTTCCCTAGATTCACAGCTATGTCTACAAGGCCTCACCACTACACTAGAGAAATGTAACAGGTTTCCAGTAATGCATGTATATTCCATACACTATACCACCCACATAACACATTCCACCACAATAAGTAAAGGGTCATGTCTTCAAGGTACTTTAAAAAACACAAACTGAAAATGGGCTTTTGAGTAGACACCCACCAGTCAGGAGAACTGGGTAAAATTTAAATTAGGGAAGAAATATTAGAAGACCAAGTTAAAAACCAAGGCCTGCTCAAAAAAGCAGCATATCTTAAAATAAGAAATGATTCTCACTTTTTCCATGACTGATTTTATCACTTTCGAAGCAGACTAAATCAGCTATCCAAATTTAATTTTTCTTCTCTGTATTTTAAATGGATAAAACACTGTATTAACAAGATTCATACACTCTGCGATACAACATTTCCAATTAACTCAATTCTTTTCTTGAGAAATTTGCAGTAATATCTTGATACTGAAAATATCAAACCAAATTAACCTCTAGTAGCATTTGTTTGTGTTTTTCTTCCCCCAGTAAATTCTGAAAACAGATGGGTTATTATTTCATAAGCAGTGGCCCTTGTCAAAGAGCTCAAATCCTCCAGATTCTGTTTTGTATTTTAAAAATAGTGCCCAAATGTTTAATCTTTGCAGGAAATGTCTCTGGAAATACATGCGATGACACAGAGCTCTTGTGCAGAACCTTGTACTTAAGACCACCTCTCCAATCTGAGGCTGCATGCTTTCTTTGCACTTGCATGGGCGGACAGAAAAGAGAACCAGGCAAAAAGAATGAAGCTAATCCTTCCTCTGTAATCCATAAAATCTTCTTTCACTAAGTGTGTGCAATACTGTGGCAGCAATAAGCCACATTACTGTGGACTACGGCATCATCATTTCATCACTCATTTCAGAATCGATGTGGCACCAGAGCTGATGGACCAGACCAATGGGGCTCTATAACATAAGGACATGTGCATGCAATAACACATGATGTCCTGCAGCCAGTATCCAACATATACCAAGTCTGAGCAACAAAATTCAAACCAGTAAAGCACTTTTGGTTTTACCAGGAAATAGCTAATGAAACCATCACACTCTTGTGTAAACATTCTTCCTAGCAACAGAACTCTCACCATGGGCTAAGATAAAAACACACATTTTGAAGCATCTTATTGTGACTCTGTAAGAACATTTGAATATTCTTTTTATGCCTTAGGAAAGGATGTTCTAATAACTGTAAAACCAAATTCCAAAATATGAGGACACTAGGACATAAGAATGAATATAACACACAATCTACCTGACATACCCTCCTCTCTTCCACCACTGTCAGGTTAGATAAGGATGTGCTTCTCTATACCTATTTAACAGTTTCAAGAACCCGGGCCAACCTCTAAGTGGGTACTTTAGTCAACTGAGTACATAGCAGGGAACTGAGTGATTACTTACACTGTAAGGTGTCCAGTAATTCCAAAGCTTGATTTTGGAGATGCCAAATTCATGGGATTGTCTAGTATTGCGGATGATAAAGAAAAGCTGAACTGGAGGGTGGAAAGGACAGGTCCACAAAGAGAGCTCTTTAGTACTCTGAAAACCAACAAGCAAAGAAAGCCATGAGTACATCTTCTCTTTTCCCCAAAGTAAATATCTGTGATTAATTCTTCATCTAATTAAAAAGAACAGAGGGCGTGAACCATCATAGAAGGCTGGCTCCCATGCTACCTCTTCTATATATAGCAGCAGGCTCCTGACCCTTGTATCTGGCAGGAAGTCAGCTTGCTCCCCTCTGATTTGCCATCCACGATGAATTGTGAAGGCAGGGTCACCATTTGGTCTATTTTAATCAACTTAATCAGCTTTGTGCAGCCCAGGGAAAATGGGGGAGGGAAGGGGATGAGAAAGAGGCTATTGTTCAACTGACATGTGAAGACTTTCAAGTTTTTTTTTAGCCTTATAAAATAAAATAAAAAAAATTAACAACACGCTCAACCCTTGGGATTTATTTCTCTTTTTTTAATAGGTTCTCACCCTGTAGAATGTCTTACCTCCCAATGAGCCTGACTAGATCCCTATGCTATGTACCGCTCGCAGACAAATCTAACTTGTTTTTCTGAATAAATTTGCATCAGCAATATTTCATACTGTTGATAGCATTTGTTTTGGACAGAGAAGGAACCCCCCCCCACAAACTACAGACATATAGAAACTTTTCTCAAACAAGTATTTGATAACTTCATCCAAGTTTCCATCCCACACTCTTCAGAGGATTATCTTCATCATCATCATCATTATCATCATCACCATTAATGTCATCATCATCAATTCCTAGTTGTCCACAGCTCCACTACGTACTTGGCACTGTACTCCCTGAGAACTTCAGTTTTATTTAAGACGAGGAACATCCTGTACTCCAGCATGTCTCAACTGGGCTTTCCTTGTCATTGAAAATGGGCCCAGCACTTGCCCAAGTTCTATGAAAGAGGTGAATGGCAGCATCTGCACCTCTTCAGGACCCCAGGAATTTGGATGCCTGGGGCTCCAGCTGCCACTGAGAACAAAGATGGTTTCTTACTTGTGACAACGGTGCCTTTCAGATGAGAGAGAAAATTGTTTTTACAAGAGAGAGAGGAAGAGACAGTTTTGAGGGCTTATGACTAATTTGGGCAAGTTCCATAAGTCACACATGAACTTTTTCTATTCTGGGAAGTTTGGATGGAGTATACAAGGTACTAAAAAATCCAGTGGAAGGGTGGGAGTGATGGAGGCAGTGGCTCATCCCTGGTTCTAAAATTTTGATTCTGAAATGGGCCTTTATGGCTACTTGACAAATAGAAATAGAATAAATCCCAACCCTGAAATGAGGCCTTGGCCTTGCAACTGATCTTCCTTCTCGTTTCCATCAGTGAGTCAGCAATAACAATCATGTAGAAAGTAAAAGAATATTAATCTATGTATAACTGAGGTCCTTATTAGCAACTAAGACCTTTGAGATTTCGTTCTCACAAATTCAGTCTTTTAAAGATAAAAGGCTAGGTAGTCATGATGTTAGTGTTTGAACTACCTATAAAAACCAGGCCAGAAAAGTTCCCACAATACCATGCCAGCAGGTATAATTTCCAGGGATAGTTCCCTCCTTACAAAGGCATAAAAAAGCACAGGTGACTCTACAGGACACTGGACAAGTGCCCAGCTGCCCTTTGAAGCATCCTTACCTTGCCTGCCTCTCCCTTCTACTCTCCCCTCAATACTCTGTATGTAGAAGCTCTTCTTTCTCTCTGACCTGTGCTTCTCTGCCAGGGACACTTGCTACAAATACATTTGAAAGACAGCACGTTCTGATGGACCAGGACGGGGCTGGAATTTAGGGCTGTGGAGTTAGGGTGTGAAACCGATGGTACTGGCTAACAGGAAGACTTGGTGCCAAAAAAAGTAGGTGGAATTTAGTCTACTCTCAGTGTGGACTTAGAGATTTAGACCCCAAACCCAGGGTGAGGACAGCTGCCTTATGTCACATGCTAAAAGAAATCTCAGGCAGAAGGTGCCAAAATTCCCACTGTGGTCACATGGCAATGTTTCACAGCTTTAGGCAACCACAGGAAAAGGCATAATAATCAAGAAATTGGTCCGCATCAAGTCCAATGGCTCTTTTTATTACCCTGGTGATGCTTATGTCTATGTATCATGTTTCCAAAATGTTGAAGCTATTAGAACCAATGGTGTGGAAGACAGTGAGCCAGACTAAGTTTCAGAAGCAAAGGTTATAGCTTTACAGATTCGAATCATAGTGCTAGACAGCAACGTCAAAGGTCACATCTTCTAGGCAGATGGATACTTAATGAAGCCACCTGAGGTGCATAATTATCTGACTCATTTTGCAAGGACTGAGAATCACAGAATGGAAAATAACAGAAGGATGTTCTAATCTTATCCCCTTATTGAACAGAAAAGGAAACTGAGGCTCAGAGCAAGAAATGGCAGTCAGGAGAAGAACACAAGTGTCCTTCCTGACTCCTGGTCTAATGTTCTTTCTTTCTTTCTTTCTTTTATTTTTTTGGCTAGGCAATGGGGTTAAGTGACTTGCCTAGGGTCACACAGCTAGCAAGTGTTATGTGTCGGAAGCCGGATTTGAACTCAGATCCTCCTGAATCTAGGGCCGGTGCTCTATCCACTGTGTCACCTAGCTGCCCCATCTAATGTTCTTTCTACTAACACATGCGCACTCACTTCAGGGACAATGTTTGTTTCTACATTCTTCACTAGCAGACTAAGGTCCACTCTCTCTTTTGGAGAAGGTCATACTAAGCCACAAGCCTTGGCTGCCATGTTCTCTCTTTTGGCCTACTGGGGGAAATGGTGGCTTTTGTGTTCTTATAATTTCTTTGTACATTTAAAGGCTGTTATTAAGTTGCATTTCAAAAGGGCTCCCCCCTTCCCCCGCCCCCAAGGCTACGAATTTCCCGCCCCTTTTCATTCTTTGAATCAGTTCCATTTCTCCTTTCGATATTCTTTCCCGGTTTCAAAGGATAAGAGGCCAAAACCAGCCTGACCAATGCCACGCAAAGTGAGCAAACCACAGAATCAACATGCCTTTGTCAATCCATGAAAATATTTTAGCTATGGCTGGAAGGACAGTGTACGCTTCTTCCTATATGTCCTATATCTGTGCTGTTAGTTCTCTGGACAAACATTTTTCTAATTTTTTTGGAGGCCATTTTAAATTCTATTTCAGCTGAAATGTTAGACATCCCTAATCAATATGACATCATTTGCAAATCTGGTTCGTGCTTCTAGTTTAATGACAAAATCAAAAGACATTAACCATGGAAATTACACCAGGCATAGCACTAACCTTTGAGAGTATGTGTACCCCTCTCTAGCTGAACTTGAACCATTGGTAATTCCTTAGGCACAGCCCTCTGGTCAGTATCAGCCTCACCTCTACAAAGCTTCCTTGCATTCCTTCCCCATCACTCTAGCTACATGACCCTGGGTAAGTCACTTAACCCCTCTGAGCCTCAGTTTTCTCATTTGTATAGTAAGGGGATTGGACTCTGGGGTCACTTACAAAGCTAAATCTATGATCCTATGACCATTCTGTTGCTTCTGCTTCCTTCTCCCACTTCTGACAGCCTCCTTCAAACTTCTCTGTTCTTATCATTAGCACCACCATCTTCCCAGTGAGCAGGGGTCAAAACTTAAGGGTCATCTTTGATTTAGTCTTCTATATCCCTCATATCTAACTAGTCACTAAGACTTTTATATTTTTCTGAAATGCTTCCCATATTTCTTCTTTATACCCACTGTCATCACTCTAGTCCAGGCCCTCTTTACCTCATAATCTGGATTGTTTTTTAAAAGTTTAAGGAAAAAAAAACCTTAATAAAACAGTATAATCATGTCCCCCAACCCCAAACCCTTACAAATGAACTCTTCCTTGCAACAAAGAAGCACACTCACTCAAAATGATCATGCCTCATGCCTGGTTATTGCAATCACCTCCTTGGTGGACCCCTTGTTTCTCTACCCTGTTACCCGCTACCTCCCAACAATTTTCCTTAACAACTACTTTTATCATATTGCTTATCCCCTTCAAAACCATCAAGGAATTTTTACTTCCTGCTACAATAACTCTATATTCCTCGGCCTATCTTTTTTGAGGCCCTCTGTGGCCTGCCTCCACCAGCACAGTGTTGCAGAAAGAACACTGGACTAGGAATCAGGAGATTCCTAAGTCTGAGTACCAGCCCTGCCACTAACTAATTGTGTGACCTTGGACAAGTCATTTAATTTGCTGTGACTCAGGTTCTGGCTCTGTAAAATGATATGCTGAATTAGATGGTCTCTAAAGTTCTTTTCCAGTTCTAACAATCTGGGGTGATTCTATGTATTAAGGTTCTTTTTAGTTCTAATATTCTATGTTCTCTAGGCTAGGAATCCTAAACCTTGGCTTGTGACTTACCTCTGTCATAAATGTACAAATCTGGGCAAGTCACTTCCCTATTCTGGGCGGGCCTCAGTTTCCTCCTGTGGATGCTCCTGGCTAACATTCAGTCATTCTGTGCCTTTGTTCCCACTGTGTGTTTTTCACCTGGAATGCTGCCTTGTCTCTTTTCCTTGTCAAAACCCTGTCCAGCTCAAATTCATCCTTCATGAGATCCGAGCTAACTACCCTAGCTCTCAAAGATGTCCTTCTTTCGGTCTCAAAAATATTTATCTGCTCCCAACAACTGAGCACTTACAGACTATTGTGCATCAGCCACTGTCATTTTACGTGTGTGATTATTAATACCACAAGTAGACTCTTAGCTTCTAGAAGGTAGGAAAAATGTCTCCTTCTTATGTTTCTCCTTACATGGGATTGAATCTACAGTAGATTAATAAATACTTATCGATTGATCCTCAAATTGGGAATCTCATGATCTCCCCAGGGATGTAAGGAGTGAATTGCAGACCCTGAAGCTATAGAGCCGCAGTCAACATTCTGGGAAAAAGTGGCAAACTGCAAGCTCCTCATCTCTTGGCTCTCCCCCTTGTGCTCCTTATATCCTCTGTCTTTAAGACCTTATGTGGGAGATTGAAACTGTGAAGCTCTGGACAGCTGTTTGCTGATGGAAGCATAGTCAAGTCAATTAATCAATCAAAAAACACTTATTAAGCACCTACTATGTGCCTTCTTTGAATGGAAAGGAATCAGGTAAGGGAAAAAGTGGAGATACTCTAGACCCGTCCCCCCCTTATATATTTTTTTCTTAATCACATGTGGACATTTTCACCAACATGTACTATTATATGTGTTGGTAAAAATGTCACATGTAATAGAGAATGAATACCTTTCTGAACTCCAGCTGGATTTCATCTAATACTTCTCTTTTATTTACATGATTTGGCTATTTTAGGAAACTTTAAAGAAGAGCAATTCAATTAAATTGCTATACTAAATGTCAGCTTCTGAGGGTTGGTTGGGTAAAAACAGTAAAGCAATTTCTGTACTCTCTACTTCACAGAAGCAAGGAAGAAAACAGAGAAACCAACTGGAATGGTCCATATGGCTAGAGTCTACAGATGGAGAGATAACCTCTTATAATTTTGGGATTATAAATCAGTGATTCTAACTTTAGCTATATATGATGAAAAAAAATCCTTAAAAAAAGAAAAAGAAAAGAAAGAAAATACTTATGATGTGTCCCACAAAATGGTAGCTTTGATGTCTACTTGGCAAAAACTAAGAGGAAAAAAAAAAGGTTTCTGTTAGATAAACTTAAAGACTGCAACTGTTTGCTTAAGAAATTAATATTCAACAAAAACTACTGGGAAAACTGGAAAACAGTGTGGCAGAAATTAGATTCAAACCAGCACCTCACACCATACACCAAGATAAACTCCAAATGAAAACAAAACTTACATATAAAAGGTCACATCATGAACAAATTAGAGGAGCAAGAAATTTCCTGTTGGACCCGTGGATACAGGAAAAGTTCACGACCATACAAGGGATAGAGAGGTTCATGGAAGGTAATATGGTCAATTTGGATTACATAAAATTTAAAAATTTTTGGAACAAACAAAATCAATGCAACTAAAATTATAAGGGAAACAGTTATGTGGGGGGAAAATCTTTACAGCAAATTTCTTTGATACAGGTCTCATTTCCAAGACATATCAAGAAATGATTTAAATTTGTAACACTACAAGGCATTCTCAATTAATAATAGTCAAAGGATTTCAGCAGTTTTCAAAGAAATAACTCTAAGATAACAACCATAAGGAAAAAAAATGCTCCACTAAAAAATGCTCTACGAATAATGACAGGAAGGCAAATGAAAGCAACCTCATCAGACTGGCAAATATGACATAAAAGGAAAACTGACAAATGTGGAAGGGACTACAGGAAAACAGGTACATTAATGTATCAGTAGTGGAGCTGTGAACTGGTCCAGCCATTTTAGAAAGCAATTTGGTATTATGCTCAAAAGTTATTAAACCCTTTTACCCAGTAACACCACTACTAGGCCTAAACCCCATCCTCAAAGAAAAAGGAAAAGGATCCATTTTTACAAAAAATATTTATAGAAGCTATTTTGGCAGTGGCAAAGAATTGAAAGCTAAGCTATCAATTGAGGAATGGTTGAATAACATACGGCATATGAATGTAATGGAGTATTATTATGCAATAACAAATGATCAAGAGCATAGTTTCAGAGAAACCTGGGAAAATTTGTAGAACTGACACAGGGTAAAGTAAGCAGAACCAGGAAAACAATTTATATAATAACATCAACATTATAAAGACAAACAACTTTGAAAGACTAACAACTCTGATCAATATAATGATCAAACACGGTTCCAGAGTACCAAGAATGAGGCTATCCACTTTCTAAAAGAGAGATGGTAGCCCAAGATGCAGAATTAGACGTACATTTTTGGACACTGTCAATACAAGAAATTGTTTTGCTTTTAATATCCATATCTGTTTTTTTTTCTTTTTTTAAATGAGGGAAGTAGGAGAGGGAGAAAATTAATGCTTGTTAATTTAAAAAAATAAAAGTTACAATAAAAAATTTTAAAGTAGGTCCTTATGCTTCATTGACTCTTTGAGATGAGAAATCCTCAACAGCTCTAAAGGTCAAGGGTTCATAAGTATGACCCATAATCATGATGATCAGGGATCTATAGAATGGGATATTTGAGAGACACTATGTTTAGATGCCTTTCCTACAGTAATTTTATGGGGAATTAAGAACTAATTAACTTTAAGCTCTTCTCAGTGAAAGTGTCAAATACATTAAGGGCATAAAAGGAAAAAAAATAAGGACAAACTTACAGCCAGGTTTCTATTGATGAGGCAGCTCAGGTCCCCAGGCTTGTCAGTATTTCGGATATCCACATCATGAGGTGACACAAACACCTTTTCATTGTTGAGGTCAAAGAATTCTACTTCTGTCAGACCTACATAGACCTCATTTCCCCAGTTGGACAGGATCTCCATGGTCACATAAATAGCATCTTTGATCTCTTCTACTTTGGTTTTCAATGTATTCTTAAAAAAAAAAAAACTAATAAAAATACAGCATGGATGTTAGACTCTACAAGGACATGTATTTCTCTTTTTCACTGGGTATATTTGTCATCATTTCTGTCAATCACATATCAAAAAATATTTATTCCATTTATTTTATTACCTTCCTATCTCCATAGCAGAGGGGCAGGAATGGTGCTCTCTCTCTCTCTCTCTCTCTCTCTCTCTCTCTCTCTCTCTCTCTCTCTCTTATTGTCTCTGTCTTACACACTCTCTGTCTTACTCTCTCTCTCTTCTTTGGTACAGGAATAGCCTGCTTAATATCATTAACTATTAAAATACAATAGGAGGTGAAACAGTGTTATAGGGTTGGTTAGTTTGACAATGGTCAATATTCCCCGTGACACTAGAAAGACACCCAAAGCTTGAGAAAATTAAAACTGCAACTGGGATTCAAGTTCCAATAATTCTGTGAAGTTGTATAATGGGAAAAACCCCCCACTGGATTTAGAGTCAGATTATCTGGGGGTTTAGTCCCAGTGCTGTGAATAACTAGCCAGGTGATCATGAGCAGGTTATTTAATTTTTATGGGCCTCCATTCCTTCATTTCTCAAATGAAGTTGGACTAAATTATTTCCAGTACCCTTCTCCTCCTAAATTCTACGATGATTAATTTTAGGCCTCACTGAGACCATGTGGTCACACCAAAACCTTGAACATTCTATTTACTTGCATTTATCAGCAAAGTTCCTATTATCCACTGATAGTCTGCCTATAAGGGCAGTTAGGTGGTGCCGTGGATAGAATGTTGGGCCTGAAGTCAGGAAGACTCTTCTTCCTGGGTTCAAATCTGGCCTCAGACACTTACTAGCTATGTGACCCTGGGCAAGTCACTTAACCCTATTTGCCTCAGTTTCCTCATATTTAAAATGAGCTGGTGAAGTACATGGCAAACCTCTCCAATATCTTGGACAAGGGAACCTCAAATGGTGTCACAAAGAGTCAGATACAACTAAAACAACTGAATTCTGCCTAGATTCATCCCCCAACTTCCAAACCCCTCTTACTTTCCCTATCTTTTCCCTCTCAATGTAATGACCAACTGTGGTTCCAGAGTACCAAGGATGAAACATGCTATTCACTCCCTGACAGAGAGGTTAATGGCTTAAGATGCAGAACTGGACATACATTTTTGGATATGGCCAATGTAAGAATCTGTTTTGCTTTAACATCCATATATTTTTTTCAGTGGGGGGATGAAACTGAATCCTTGCCTGCTGAAGAACACTCCCCTCCCCAATCTGTCATTCACTTTCTCATTGTCATCTACCTCAACCATATTCACCCAAGTCCCACTCCAGATCTGCCTGCTTCTTCCATTATGCCCTCTTGAACACTCACACTACAATTAATGACCTTCCTTCCTTCATTTCAGACCTCTTCCTGTCACGCTGCTTCCATCTTCTGGCCCTCACTCAGATCTGGTTTGCTCTGTATGATACTGGTTGCATCTTTTCCCAAAATACCTTCCACCCCAACCTCTTTTCGTCCCAGACTGGAAGTAGGAGAGCTCCCCATACCCCACTGCCACTTCCAGACTCTCCTTAAACCCTTCTCATTCAGTAGGCTCTTGGCTTTTAAGGTTCACTCTACCAAAATTCACACTTGACCCCTAGGATATTTTCCCTCCTTTCTCAATGAATTTAGTGCCTGGCTCAGTCTTCCTTCTGCAGAAGGCCTTTCCTGATCTCGCCAGCTGCTTGTGACTTTCCTTCCAAGGTTACCTTTTGTCTACCTTCCAAGTGTCTTGAATATACCATGTTACCTACATGAATGAATAAGAAAGCATTTTCTTTCACTCATTTGACCCACTTAGAACATAGCTTTTTGAGGATGGGGATTTTCACTTTTATCTTCACATGTTTAGTATTTAACACAGTGTCTGGTATTTGGTAAGTGCTTAATAAATAATAACGGCTAATATTTACATAGTGCTTTCTAAGTGCCAAGCACTGTGTTAAGCATTTAACAATTATTTCCTCATTTTATTCTCACATCAACCCCTGGGAGGTAAGTGCTATTATTATCCTAATTTTACAGATGAGGAAACTGAGGAAAACATGTGATTTACCTAGGATCACATAGCTAGTAAGTGTCTGAGGCCAGATTTGAATTCATGTCTTCCTAACTCCAGGGCTAGCACTCTATCCACTGCACCATCCAGCTGTTTCAATGCAACATTTGCTAATTAACTGACTGATTTTGTTTTAGGTGATGGGACAGATAATATTAAAGCAGGATTTTGGAAAGCAAGTTTTTGTTATGTAAAAATATGGTTGTAAAGTGTCAATGACATTTTTGGGAAAAAAGACTACAGGTTATACCCGTAGCTGTTTGCAAATCTCTATGAATGCTGTAAACATACAGTAAAATCACAGAACGGCCTTCAAATACCCCTTCTCTGGCCTGGAATATGGCACCAGTCTCCACAGATCAATCACTCATAAAAGAGAGAACTTCCCATGTGCCCTCTGTAAATGAGATCTGGCAATCTGTAATGGTTCTGTGAACAGGGAGCTGAGGAAATGAACAACAACTGTTCATTACTTTTTTTTTAGTGTGGATCTGTAAAACCCTGGGTTATTAGTGTGAGCTGACTGTACAGGCGAAGAAACTGAGGCTCACAGAGGAATTGTGATTTACCCAAGGTCACACAGTTAGTCAGGGCTCAGGTTGGGACTAGAACTACTTCTCCAAGTGATACTTCTACTCCATCATGTTGCCCATTGTTTCCATTCTACAATGATGAAGGGTGGAAGGTCAAATTTTCCATAGTGTTGGCAATTCAGGACTTTTTATTTAGTCACCAGGCAAAACACAGACTTTGTTCCTCTAGTGAGTGACTTACGCAGTCCTGGCCAGACAACTTTTTCTCTCTTTGCCAAGGTTTCTCTGGTTGTAAGATGAAGCGAGCAACACTGACCTAACTCATGAGAGGGTCCTGAGGGGAACAAGATCAGCTCATGCCCTGCTTTCCAGGGGTCAGATGACCATCTGAAGAGGTGCTAAAAAGCAGGGTTGTGAGTTGGCAGTTTGAAAGATGCCAGATGGAAGCAGAACGCCTTGCAGACTGTCTATTCTGGATTGCACCCAATATAATATACAACTGGTAAAGTCTTTCCATTTAGTTTCTAAATGTAGAAGCTGAAAGGCCTAGCTAATGCTAGGCGAACGTCACTGTCAAAATGGTAACTCTGCCACTCATGCTCCTTTACCAGCATATACACCAGCTAAAAGGCAATCTCTGGGTTCATGGCAGAAATGGTACCCACTGGAATAATCACAGTTATGCCACAAAAGTTAAAAAAAAAAGTCTTGCCTGGGTTTTTAAAAATAAGAGTCTTCTTACTTCACTTTTGGGGAATAACTGAATATGGCATAATCTAGCAGCAGTTCATGAAGACTGATCATCGGCACAAAATAGAGTCAGTGCAGACTCATGCAAAGTAAGGAGATGTAAGGCACGGCCTAAGACAGACCTTCTAAGGTCTCATCCACACTCCTCCTTCCTAACTCTCAATGCTTTTCTTAACCTACACACCAGAAAAAATGCTTGCTGCTACTATTACTGTATGACAGTTATCACTTACAAAGGACATTTATATATCTGCAAGTGTTTTATTTGCATATCTCACTTTGCATATCAGATGACTGATAAGAATTCATCCATTCCTAAATCCTATGATATGATAAGTGACCTGACTCCAGATCTGGTGCTCTTACCACTCTATGACACTGTCTCTTTACAAACTGGAGTTTCAGAGATGGCTCCTACTAAATATTTATCAAAGGTTAAACAGGGCACGTTTTCTCACCTCAAGATCTGATACAGGTTCCTCAGGCCCTACATGACTGAGATGGGCAGGGTCATTTTCAATCGCCTGAAGGACTTTCAGAAGCTTCTTCTGTTGCCTAAAACATGATTGAACTTTCAGGAAACATGTAGCAGTAACTGATATACAAAGGGAACACACTACCAGTAATGCCTTTTCTTTGTGTCCCAAAGAAAGGGGATAGGTGGGAAAGAAATATAACCAATAAGAAACTAGAGTAGAATCTCAGTTTTTTTCCCCCATAAGGCAATCTGAAGAAAATATACATGGATAATTCCTGCCTGCAATATGCCCCGATCAAGCCAGCCCAAGGAACCATGCACCTCACTATAAAATACCCCCCAGAGACAGGCTTTGGAGCCCATGATTGTTAAAGAAGAAAATTTTGGTAACACAGAATCTCCACTCACAGGCCAAGGGGGGCATTCAGATAGTCCACTTAGGCACACCCCACATAATGCCACCCTAACTAACGTCACTTTGGGATTGTTGTTGTTCATTTGTGTTTGATTCTTCATGACCCCATCTGGGGTTTTCTCTGCAAAGATACTGGAAAGGTTTGCTGTTTCCTTCTCCAGCTCATTTTACAGATGAGGAAACTGAGGCAAACAGGCTTAAGTGACTTGCCCAGGATCACACAACTGGATCACACAGCTGTCTGAGGCTGGATTTGAACTCTGGTCTTCCTGACTCCAGGCCAGATGCTCTATCCACTGTGTAACCTAGCTGGTCCCATTTTGGGATAACATTGATGATACATTATAACTGTGACCCACTGGGAAGTTGGGAAACCCCCACATGTGACTGATAAAATCATTTTTATTTTTTTAAGGCAATTGGGGTTAAGTGGCCTGCTCAGGGTCACACAGCTAGTAAGTGTCAAGTGTTTGGTCAGAGGCCACATTTGAACTCAGGTCCTCCTGACTTCAGGGCCAGTGCTGTATCCACTGTGCTACCTAGCTGCCCCTAAAATCATTTTTATGACACTAACTCCCATTCTTGTGGCACTTTGAGGTTTACAAAGCTGTGTTTTCCAGCCTTATGAGGTAGACTACAGCATTATAGATTTAGAGCTGGAAGGGACCTGAGAGCTAATCTAGTCCCTCTTTGTTTTTTTTTGTTTTGTTTTGGTGAGGCAATTGGGGTTAAGTGACTTGCCCAGGGTCACACAGCTAGTAAGTGTTAAATGTCTGAGGTCAGATTTGAACTCAGGTCCTCCTGACTCTAACGCCAGAACTCTATCCACTGCGCCACCTAGCTGCCCCTCTTCTTTGTTTTACAGAGGAAGAAACTGTGGCCTTTCCTTGACCAAGCTCACAGGTAAGAAGTAGTAACGGTTAAAGCTGAACCCAAATCTATTGCCTCCAAATTCAGAATTTCTTTCACTTCAATATTATCAGTATCATTATCATTATATTATTATCCCTACTTTTAAAATGATAAAACTGAAGCTCAGGGAGATGAGGCAATTTGCGCTGCTATTACACACAGTAATTTAATGTCAGAGCCAGGATTTGAAAACAGGTCCTTTGGTTTCAAGAGCACTGATCTCTCTGGTTTAGGCTGGTTCTGGAACAAATTGCCCCCCAAAACACCATTTTGTACAACAAGTTTTTGAGCAACCATATGGATGTCACATGAGGAAGGCCCACGTAGTATACCGATGAGTCCATTAAGTGAGAAATGTTGGTTGTGATGAAATTAAAATCACAGAATCTCAAAGCTAGAAGGTAATCTCCAGAACTCTCAGTCCACCTGATACATGAATTCCTTTGACAATAACTCGGACCTGCCAAGCTAACTCCCTACCTGTTAGAAGACATACAAGTAACTGGATATAACAAGAGTCAAGTTTTCAGGCCCTTCTCTCTATAGGGTCATTCATTCTAAATATAACTGGGAGCCTTAACCAATGGAAAGTGAACCCCAACATTTTCCGTTTTCAAGAATGATAATGATCCTATAGTACTCTGAGGTACTCAAAGTGCTTTCCACTGTATATCATTTGATCCTCACAAAATCCCATGTAAGTCTTATAGGCATTATTTTCCCGACTTCATAGAAGAGGAGACAATAATATGGAAAAGTTAAATAACTTCTCAAGGATAACATAGCTAGAAAGTATCTGAGGAAAGACTTAAAATCAGGTCTTTCTGACCCTGGGGCAGCTAGGATAGAGCCCTAGGCCTGGAGTCAGGAAGATTCCTTTTCCTGAGTTCGAATCTAGCCTGACACTTAATAGCTGTGTGACCCTGGGCAAGTCACTTCACCCTTTTTTCCTCAGTTTCCTCATCTGTAAAATGAGCTGGAGAAGGAAATGGCAAACCACTCCAATATCTTTGCCAAGAAAACCTCAAATGGGGTCAAGAAGAGTCAGACATGACTAAAATGACTGAACAACAAATTTCTGACCCTACCCTAGGGATAATTAACTGAGCTCTGTGACCTTGTTTTTTCTTTTTAATTTTGATAACTGTATTTTTAAAAAAATTGATTTCCTTTGGAATCTTAGGTACTTTAGTTTATGCATTTAAAAACACTATTCTGAAAAGAGGTCCATGGGTTTCACCAGTATGCTAAAAGTGTTTGTGATACAAACAAAGGTGAAGACCCCACTTTCCCAGATCCAGAATACTACAGTGCCTCTCTCTGGAACAATAAGGACTGTTCTTGCATGTAGAATGATAGAAAGAGGCACATTTGGCTTTATTTAAGTTCATCATTGATGAAATAGTTCCAAATAGCAATTATCCCATTTATATTCAGCAGATGAGTGCTTCCTTTGTGGCTGCAAAGGTATGCAGAGTTCTGCATTTCTGTCCATATTAGACATGAACAGACAAGGACAAGGTATTTTCCTAAAAGGAATTGTTAGTTTTGTTTACTCGAGGGAAAGGAGAGGACTGTGGAAGTTAAAATGACTCTAGGATACACTAGAAATGAAAACAAAAATATTACAGCAAGGAAATCTGATGATCACTTCATTCAGTTTAAAAAAAAAATCCACCTTAATAAGTACCTGCTTCCCAGAAGACCAATTCTTTCTATTGCTTCCGTGACTGCATTTGTACCCTCTGCAGTTTTGGATGGCTCAGATATAACACTGGCTATGGAAAGGTCAGGAGGAGGCACCTGAGATTGGAGAAATTCATTAACAGAGTACAGAAACTAAATTTCAGAAACATCAGTGACTGCTCTTAAAGGCATATAGATGAAAACCGATAAATTTAATTTTTAGTAGGAAATAAGAATAAGAAACATTTCATGTACACATTAAATCAACAAAATACTTCTACAATGTACAAATTTTCTATTTCGTCTGATTGCTGGGTGAAATTTAATGCAATTCTATTCAACAAGCATTTATTATGTACTTGTGCCATGCATTGTTGGTAGGCACTGTAGACATAAAGACAAAAACACATCAGTCTGTGGTCTCACAGGGCTTACATTCTTCTTCTGTCAACCTTTTTGAATGAATTATCTAAAGAGAATTCCAATCACATGATTGGGATCGTAGGATTTAGGGATAGAAAGGACCAGAAATATCATTTAATCCAATCAACTAATTTTACAGAGAAGGAAACTGAGGTCCAGAGAAGAGAAATGATTTTCTCAAGGTCACAAAGCTAGTCAGTGGCCGAGATATCAGCCAAATACAGTGGTCCTTCCTCTGCCCTATTTTTTTAGTCTTTTAAAAAAAATTCATCATCCAAACTAAAGATGCGTTCCTTATGATCTTAATTCTCTTCTTTTCTATTTAATTGCATTTCTCTAATCTTCAGAAGCACAATAGTTCACCAATAAGATCACCCAGAAACATTGCAGCATGGTGTCTGAAACTGCTGTAATGGTGGCAGAAACGGTTATTAACAGTAATTTACACATGTCAGTAGATTCTGGAGGAGGCAAGCTAGTTTTAAGGAAAGAAACTTTAGGTCAAGTAAAAGGAAGAAACCACAAAAGTATTACTATCAAATGTAGAAACTTCTTATATAACATGCATTAGGATCCTAGCATATCACAGCTAGTCCAACACCATAATTTTACAGATGAGGAAACTGAGGCCCAAGGAATGGAAGTAACTTGTTCCAGAAAATATGGTGGGTAATTAGCAGAGCTGAGATTTGAACCCAATTATTCTGATTCAAAATTCAGTGTTCTTTTCACCAATAACTAAAATTTCTATTACTTTGGGGGGTTTTTTGGAGGGGGCAGAGTCTATTCAACTTAGCAAAGTTTTAGGAAGGTATTCTTAACCTAAATTCCACTGAATCCCAAGGGTCAGTGGATAGATTTAGGGGAATATATGAACTTGGATGAGAAAAACTAAATTTTTACTTCAAGATAATTGGTTTCTTTTGTAATACTATTATTTTATTTTATGTATTTGAAGACATTATTGTGAGAAGGGGTCCACTGGCTTCACCAAATGCCAATGGAGTCATGACCCAAAAAAAAAGGTTAAGAACCCTTGGTCCAGGGGGATCTTCCAGAAAGCTGGATCTACTAGGCTCATATTAAAGAAATCCAGAACCTTCCTTTTTCAGGACTAACAGTGTAATGGAAAGAGCAGACTTCAAGTAAAAAGACCTAGGTTCAAGACTCAGCTCTGCCATTTACTAAAGGTGAAACCTTAACTAAATCACTTAACCTGTTCACGTCTGTTTGTTCATCTATAACATGGGAATAACATCCATTGTTCTTAACTCCAGTATTATTGTATGGATCAAATGAGACAGCTATACTATAGTGGAAAGGACCTCGGACTTGGAGGCTGGAGAGCTGGGCCTTAGTTCCAACTCTGACACGTGCTCGCTGTGTGACCATGAGCAAGTTAATTAAGTTCTCCGAGTTTGCTTCCTTCTCTGTTAAATGGTGACAATAATTACTTGTTCTAGCTACTTCACAGGATTGTTGTGACGAAAACATTTGTATGCCTTGAAGTCCTATGCCATATAAAATTGTAATTATTATTTATTTGTAATGTTTTAGCAAGGAGCTGAACTAGATGAGCTCTGACATGCCTTCCAATCCTATCATTCTAGGATTTTAATGAATGTGAAAGCATTTTATACATTACAATATCATAGAAACATAAGCTATTACTATTATTTTACTTTTTATTCATATCCTTTAGCTTTGAATCATCTTCCATACTGCCCCCTTTTCTTATCCAGAGAACCACTCCCTCTAACAGAAAGAGAAGAAAAGGCAATTTAGCAAAGTTAACCAACATATCAACTGTGCCTGATAATTTTTGCCATTATCAACATCAAGAGTTCTTCACCTCTGCAAATGAGGGAGCTACACTTTCTTGTCTCTTCTTTGGGACCAAGCTTGGTCATTATAATTACAAAGTGTTCAACTGCTTTTTTATTTTTTTAACCATTGCTAGGCAATGGGGTTAAGTGACTTGCCCAGGGTCACACAGCTACTATGTGTCAAGTGTCTGAGGCTGAATTTGAACTCAGGTGCCCCTGACTCCAGGGCCAGTGCTCTATCCACTGCACCACCTAGCTGCCCCAATTAGCGGCTTTTTAAAAAATGGTGTTTTTTCCATTGACATTGTTGTAGTAATTATATAGATTGTTTCCTTGGTTTTGCTTATTTTGCTTTGCATGAATTCACATAATTCTTCCTATGCTTCTCTGCATTTTTCATAGTCATCATTTCTTAGGGGTGCAGGAATATTCCATCACATTCATGTATGATTTGTTTAGCTATTCTCCAATCAATGGACATACATATTGTGGTTATTATTATCATTGTCACCATCATCATTATCATCATCCTTATCATTATCATTATACTACCAGGAGACTATAGTCTGGAAAAACTTTGATGTCTGTGCTGGGAAACTACATATAATGTCTACAGTAAAGTTATCAGCATTCTAAAACCTGTTAGTTTTATACTGTACCGGTCTTTCCTTTCGTCTATTCTTTAAATGGATTCAAATCTATTGCCTCTGTTTTGGATCATTAAAGAAGGTTTGAATGACTGCTGCTTAGTATAAGGATCCTTTATTCGTTTAATGATGAAATATACATTTATTAGCCTTTTAAAACAGTCAGGAACTAAAAGGCATGAAATGTCACTGTTTAATCACAATCTACTTATTACTACTAATTTTGTCTCTCATGTGCTCAAGGAAGGAGAATCAAGGACCTTTAGACCTTGAATTAAAAAATCTGGCTCCTCAAAGAAACCTCTTGACTTCATGAAAAATTTCTAAAGAGTCGAATTTTTTTTTTAATTTTTCAGGAGTAGTGCAGGTCACTAATGTGACCACCTAGAAACAATATCCTTTCAAAAAAATCTAGAGCGCTAATCTGTAATGTTCATTCATTCAACAAATATTTATTAAACATCCCCTACATATAATGTAATTTGTTAGTAGCTGGGGGACATATAACAATAAATAAGGTATGATTTCTATCTTCAATGAGGTTAGTCTACTAGGAGAAATAAGATAGGGACACAGGAAAATGTACAAATTAGAATATGATGAGCACATAAGAGGAGTACCAAGTGCCTGATAAAGTATTTTACTGTTAGTGTTTTATTGAAAATGTAAGGTGCTCTTTTCCTGAAATTTCTGTATCTTATTTACTACTTTGTATAGTTTTATACCTTATGTACCTATAAAACGGCATGCATTGCCAGAGCTAGCTCAGTGTTTGGGAGACTCTAAAGGAAAGTGTGGGAGAGAAGAGGTATCAGACTGTCTACCAAAGTGAAGGTCTGCAGAGCCATTGTGATGACCTCATTGTTGTACGCCTATGAAACCTGGACAGTATACCAGCACCATGCCAGAAAATTGAATCATTTCCATTTGGATTATCCTAGTAAGATTCTGAAGATCACCTGTCAAGATAAGGCATGGGACATTGAGGTCCTTTCTTGAGCTGAACTGGCAAGCATTCAAACTCTGATGGGCTGGCCACATTATTCAAATGCCAAAAGTACGTTTGCCTAAAAGGTTATTTTATGGAGAACTCACACAAAGTAAGCACTTACATGGAGGTCAGAAGAAGCAATACAAGGACACTCTCAAGGTCTCTGAAGAACATTGGAATGACTAATATGGAAATGTTTTACATAATTGCACATGTATAACCTATATCTGATTACTTACCATCTAAGGGAGGGGAGTGGGGAAAGAGGGAGGGAGGGAAGGAGGGATAGAATTTGGAACTCAAAACTTTAAATAAAATGTTTTAAAAATTGGAAAAAATAACTTTGGAATTAATTGTGAAACATGGGAGACACTGCCACAGTATAACCTAGAAAAGCTTGCCTACATCAAAGAAGATGATAAATACTCTATGAGCAAAGCAGAATTGCTCAAAAGAAACACGAGGTGCAAATTTCAAGCCATCTCCACTCCAAATGTTCATATAGAATATTTGTGCTTTTGAGCTCACATTGGTGTGATCAGCCACAATCGGACACACTGTACCTTGACCCAACCTAGTGATGTCATTTGGGTCTTCTTTGAGGAGGAAGGACAACGAACAACCTATAGATTTGATTTCAAGGACCTAATTTGAGAAAAATCATGTGGTATCTAGCATCCCTTAAAGAAACTGCGCTATGTCCATATGTGTTTTCATCACTACTTTTTCATAAATAATGCTTATAATGTTTCCCAGCTCCCCCTTTTTGGTAATACATTTCTAATAAGCTACTCACATAAAATACTATCTTTTCTTTGCAAAATGCTATAGAACCCTATAATTAGTCCTTATCACGATTTTGGAATAGGTGAAGAGAAGGGAATCATCTGGGGTTGGATAAGTGCTATCATGGACCAAGTTTATCTCAGGTAGAGCATATCATGTTATGGTGATACTCTAAACAGAACAGGTTCATGGGGGAAAAAAAGGAGAGGTGAGATGAGAAGGTATATAATTATTAGGATGTGGTAAGTTCTAAGAAATCATAAGTTGACTCTAAAGAATAAAATGGAGATATTATAAGGGCTATACTAATTGTTCTATGATTAGTACAGGGAGTATTCTAAAGTAAGATTTGAACAGATGCATATCAGTTTTTTGAAGAAGTGGACAGAATGAAGCAGAGGAAAACAGGATACTTGGATTCTATGATATTAAAAATCCTCTAAATAAAAACATGCAGCTAGAAGAAGATATATGGATTAGGGTAAAATTTACATTAAATATCTCAAATAAAAGTTTGACAACCAAAATTTATAAGAATTTGATGTTCATTTCTAAGATCGAGAAATATTCCCAAAAGACAAGTACTCAAAGAATATGAACAAATAGTTTTTCAAAAGAATAAAAACTATCAACAAACATCTGAAAATTTGTTCAAAATCACTAATCAGAGAAATGCAAATTAAAATAACTCAGAAGTACCATTTCACATACTTCAAATTAGAAAATACAGGAAAATTTCAATGTTGGAGGGGCTGTGGGAAGACAGACATGCTTATTCACTGCTGGTAAAATTGTGATTTGGTCCAAATGTTCTGGAAAACAATTTGGAATTATGCAACAAAAAAACACTAAATTATTCAAACACTTTGACTCAGAAATCCCACCATTGGAATTATACTTCAAGCCAGTTAATGGCATCAAGAAAAGGCCCATATGTCCAAATATACTCATAGCTGCATTATTACTTGTAATAATAAAAAGCTTGAGGTGGTGGGGGAATGTGCCCAACAACTGGGAAATGGCTGCACAGATTATAATACAAGTGTAATGCAATATTACTGTGTTATAAAAGATGATTAATCTGAAGAATTCAGAGAAACAGGAATATTTATATCAAATGATGAAGAATAAAGAAAGAATAGCTAACATAATAACATGCACAGTGACCACAACAATGTAAATAAAGGTTAACAAAATAGTCAAAGACAATGGTTGATGTTGGTGCCATATTATCAAAGTGAAAGCAAGTTGTCTTCCTTTCTGATAACAAGTGGTAAACTGCAAAAACGGAAGTGATTTGTACTACCAGTACTAATCATGCTGTTAGGCTGTTTTGCTCAATTGTGTTTAAAGAACATACTCTATGGTGGGTGTTGCTTGGGTATTTGTTGGGAAGTGTCGACTTTATCAAAATAAAACTGTATAGTAGAAAAGAAAGTGGACAAGATGACCAGAGCTTCAAAGTTGGTTACATCTCCCAGGCCCTCAGAAGTTCAGATGTGTAAGGCGGTTCCAGGAAAAGATCTAATCCTAAGCCGTGCTCCAAACTGTTACTATCTTTGAGGCAGGTTGTGTATGTTGCTGTTGCAAGAGCTGGATGGTGGTGAGGGGCAATTAGTGATTTCTTCCCTGATTAGTAGGTGAGGGGAAGTTCCCAGAATATAATAGAAATCCTGGTAAATAAAGAGCACACTGACTCAACTTCCTATTATTTTCTGCCTCACTGATACTTTACATTTCTATTGTAACAGGTGTTAACAAAGTGCTTTACAAATATTACATCATTTGATCTTCACAACCCTGGGAACCAGGTTGTACAAGCATCATCCCCATTTTACAAATGAAGTTCCTAGATAGCAGAGTGAAAGCAGCAACTTGCTTGAGATCTCCCCAAAACCCCTCCAAATACCTATAAAAATGGCTCTAAACAAATTCTAAGGCAGCAGAACCCACAAAAAGACAGAGTGAAACAAATTTCCAGCCCAAGACAACCTGGATGATTGATCAGGAAGGTATATCACGCCGGGTTGGAAGTGGAGCGCAGCGCGGCATGGGCATGTAGGCCCCAGAGAACCTGGAGCAGGCCTTAGAGGACTGAATTGCAGGCAGCTATAGCGGTTTCCTGACTCCTCAATCCATGAATGCCAAAGACAACTTAGAAGGTCTGTGGGAAAAGTCTGTTTCTGCGGTGCTGAGAGAGGAAGGTGGGGTCTCAATTCCAGTTCCCTGAGAACACGGCCCTGAAGTGGGCAGCTGCTTCCCAAACTTCTGGCCCACACACACTGAGGGGGAATCGAGTGGCTGATCAGAAGGGGATTGCAGGGATCTCTCTGCTGGTGCTGAGGCAGGAATCTCTTGCTTTGTCCGTGCTTGGATCTGGGTCACAGTTCTAGACGGGGGTCCTAGGGTGAGGAGGAGTGCTGGCACGGTGGAGCTTGTAGTGGCTGTGGACAGGAAGCCTTCCTCACAGTTCCAGGACTGAAAGGAATGCTTGTGGACACTAACAGACCACAGCACAGGCCAGGAAAGGAGTAAACACCTCGCCCCTTATCATACCACCTTGCAAGAACTGAAAATTTATGGGTCCCTACAAGTATCTCTGAAAACAGCTATATAAAGCACTGAAGCTTGGGACAGTACATTCTCCACATTGGAAGCAGACTCTTACCTTAACAAAGAGTTTAAAACTCAAGTAATTGGCCGGGATCATGAGCAAGCAGCACAAAAAGAGTCAGACTATATTGTCTTACTTCGGTGACAAAGAAGATCAAAATATACAACCAGAAGAAGACAACAGAGTCAGAGCTCCTACATCCAAAACCTCCAAGAAAAATATGAATCAGTCCCAGGCCTTGGAAGAGCTCAGAAGGGATTCTGAGAAGCAAGTAAGAGAAGCAGAGGAAAAATTGGGAAGAGAAATGACAGTGATGGAAGAAAATCACAAAAAACGAGTCAGCAGCTTGCTAAAGGAGACCCAAAAAATACTGAAGAAAATAACACCTTAAAAAATAGCCTAACCCAAATGGCAAAAGAGGTCCAAAAAGCCAATGAAGAGAAGAATGCCCTAAAAAGAAAAATTGGCCAAATGGAAAAGGAAATCCAAAAACTTACTGAAGAAAATACTTCCTGAAAAATTAGAATAGAGCAATTGGAGGCTAGTGACTTTATGAGAAATCAAGACACTGTAAAACAAATCCAAAGAATGAAAAATAGAAACAATGTGAAATATCTCATTGGAAAAACAACTGACCTGGAAAATAGATCCAGGAGGGAGAATTTAAAAATGATTGGACTATCTGAAAGCCATGATCAAAAAAAGAGCCTAGACATTCTTTCAAGAAATTATTAAGGAAAACTGCCCTGACATAGTAGAACCAGAGGGCAAAATAGAAATGAAAGAATCCACCGATCTCCTCCTGAAAGAGATCCCCAAAGGAAAACTCCTAGGAATATTGTAGCCAAATTCCAGAGCTCCCAGGTCAAGGAGAAAATATTACAAGCTGCCAGAAGGAAACAATTCAAGTACTGTGGAAGCACAATTAGGACAACACAAGATTTAGCAGCTTCTACATTAAAGGATGCAGGGCATGGAATATAATATTCCAGAGGGCAAAGGAGATAGGATTACAACCAAGTATCACCTACTCAGCAAAACTGAGTATAGTCCTTCAGGGGAAAAAATGGTCATTCAGTGAAATAGAGGACTTTCCAGGATTCTTAATGAAAAGACCAGAGCTGAATAGAAAATTTGACTTTCAAATACAAGACTCAAGTGGAACATGAAGAGGTAAACAGGAAAGAGAAATCATAAGAGACTTATTAAGGTTGAACTGTTTACATTCCTGCATGGAAAGATGATATTTATAACTCATGAGACCTTTGTCAGTATTAGGGTAGTTAGAGGAAAAAAATTATATGTATGTATAGGTAGGTAGATAGATAGATAGATAAATAGATAGAGGGCACAGGATGAATTGAAGATTAAGGGGTCATATCTGGAGAGTAAAATTAAGGGATGAGAGAGGATTATATTCAGAGAAGAAGAAAAGGAGAGGTAGAATGGGGTAAATTATCTCACAAAAAAAAAGAAAAGAATATGCTCTTACAGTGGAGGGGAAATAGGGGAAGGTGAGAGGAAATGAGTGAATCTTATTCTCATAGGATTTGGCTTAAGGAGGGAATAACATACACATTCAATTGGGTAAGGAAATCTGTCTTACCCTACAAGAAAATAGGGGAGAAGGGGACAAGAGACAGGGGGATGATAGAGAGAAGGGCAGATTGGGAAAGGGGGTAATCAGAAGCAAATACTTCTGAGGAGGGACAGGGTCAAAAGAAAGAACAGAATAAATGGGAGGGCAGGATAGGATTAAGGGAAATAGAGTTAGTTTTTCACAACATGTCTACTATGGAAGTGTTTTGCATAACGGCACATGTATAACCTATATTGAGTTGCTTGCCGTTTCAGTGAGGGTGACTGGGGAGGGAGGAAGGGAGAAGATTTGAAACCTAAAGTTTTAAAAACATACGTTTAAAAAAAATGTTTTCACGTACTACTGGGAAATAAGAAATACAGGAAATGGGGTACAGAAGTCTGTCCTGCCCTACAGGAAAATAGAAGGGGAAGGGGATAAGAGAAGGGGGGAAGAGACAGAAGAGAGGACAGAGTAGGGGAAGGGATATTCAGAATGCATGCCATCTTAGGGTGCGGGGAAGAGGTGAGATGGGGTGAAAATTTGGAACTCAAAATCTTGTGGAAGTAAATAAACAAATTTATATTAAAAAAAAATGAAGTACCTGAGATTCAAGAGAAGTAGAATGCTTTGTTTAAGGTCACAATGCTAGGAAGCAATGGAGCTGGACTTAATTTAGGCCTCTAAATGGCAAGTCTAGTGTTCTATGTGATACTATGTCTTTTATTTATTCACTGTATTTGAAAGGATAAAATTTCACTTACATCAAGGGCAGTAAAAGGGAATTCTTCCTCTTCCTTCAGATTAGTCCAAGATCTCACTGGTGGATCCTCCTCTTCCTATTATGAGAGGTCAAAAAAGAAGTTGTAGTTAAAGTAAATGTTGTTAGCTACAGATTTGGCAATTAGTCTATGGAAGAGCAACTCCTATTGCAAAGTGATTATAGGAACTTCCCTGCCTTATCTCCTTTCCCATATTGGCTACTACTTCCTTGACCTTAGGCCTACACCCTCCTAATTAAAAATGATAATAGAAAGAAGTAAAGAGACATGTTCAAATCATAATTAGTTTTTCCCCAGGTGACATGGTAGTGCACAAAACACTCAGCTAAGAATCTGGACACCTGAATTCAAGTCAGTCCTCTCTTCTAATTACTACTTGTGTGATTTGAGGCAAACTTTCTGTGCATCAGTTTCCTCACCTATGAAACTGGGTAAATAATACCTGCCCTGTCTACCTTGGAGTTATCATAAGGATCAAGTGAAGTAACACAAAGTGATTTGCAAACTATAAAGTGTTATGCAAATGCAAGTTATTGTTATTAATATTAAACCAGGGAAAGCAAGAACTTGGAGGAGAAAGGAGACAACTGCCTAAAGCATCTGAGGATTTGCCTAAATTGAGCATTCTCTAGAACCTAACACCTTTGAGTTGGGATGTTATCTTGTATTCTCTTCTAGATGCCATTAGGAGAATTACCACTAACACCTGTGTTTTGCATAACAGTACTTCTACGTTGAATAAAGAAATACTAACTTCTTTTCTCTCCTCTGATTTCTGAATGCTTCTGCAACTTATTCAGTTGTCTAGCGTACCTTTAGTTGGCTAGCCAGAGTGTCTGCCTTTCTGCTAAGGATTTCCTTTTGTAAGGTTTCATTTTCGACTTGTATAGCTCTGAGGACAGCTGAGGCATCTTCTTCAGGGTCTTCGTCCTTACATACGTTCTTTCGTGTAGCAGATAGGGGCCTTTCTTTTCGGCTTCCTGGTCCTGACAGTAGAAAATGAGATGACATTCCTTTAGACTACACTAACAGAGAGAAGTACAAATGATATTAAGTTTGCCCAAACCTCTTCTATACCATGTTGGATATCAAAAGATTCTTCTATGGGAACTCAATTTGAAGCATAAGTTAGGTCATGTCACTTAACATTTGTTATCAAAGGCTGATTCATGTAATCGCTGAACTTTGAGCTGAAGGGGACCTTAGAAGTCTTCTAGTACAGCTCACTCATTTTACAGATGAGGAAACTGAGATCTCGTTAGGTTAAGTGCCAAAGCACAAAGGTAGGACTAGAATCCATGCCTCTTGACCCCAAGTTCAGTGCTCCTTCCATTACACAATGGTTTTTCCTGCTGATAGTATGGGCAGATATAAACTTTCCGCCTACCAAGATACAGTTCTGATGTGTAATCGTGGTCCTGAAGTTACTCTGGGTCCTCAAATCCTATGCTAGTGTGGTGTAAGTTAAAAGCTGCATCTGTCCCCTAAGGACCAGCCTACTAAGTTTGAGACGGCTCATCAGTAGAAGTCAGTCCTTGGATGATTAATGATTTTTGGCTCCAGTTTATCTACTGCTGTGTGGGGGAGGTTTCAGTCTATTTTGGTGAAGGGAATATTCACATCAATGAAGTCATAGTTTTGTGGAGCACTGAAGTGTGAAGCATAAAGCAACTTCAATATGTTCAGATGCACAATTTGACTCAAGCACCTCTATTAACCATTATGGACCAAACATAAAGGCTGTTCATTAAATAACATGCTCTGGTTTGTATCTGTTCGGGTAAGCCATCACAGCAACCAAAGAGGGACAAATCTTGTAGCATTTGAATCGCCCTTTCTGCTCACAAGAGTCTTACTGAGATCCAACATGTGGAAGTTAAGCAACAGCAATAGCAAGGAAAAGCATTCTCAGTGGGTGGAGGAATATTGGCGTTCTCGAAAGGGTGAAAAAAAATCTCGATGAGTCTACAGTGGTAGTCTCCAGCACTGCTAGGATAATATGTTTTGAGTGGAGATGTTCCCCTCATAAAAAGGGTGCCACTCTCTGCTATGTACACATGTCTATTCAGTAGGCAATCTATAAGTCTGGTTTAGGGTATTGAAGGGCATTAACAAGAGTTCTTTCTGTGTCTGATTATGGGTGGCTTGGTGATTAAAAATTAGGTAGCATTCTTTTCCATCAGACTCTTGTGTAGTCCTCAGAAAAACTTACCTCCTAAACTGCTGCTTCTATGATCATAAAAATGAAGAACTGATTGAATGCTCAGTGGGGACAGATATCCAATTCTCTCTAACCCCACTCAATGTCCTTGCTTCTCCTTTAAACATTACAGCCTTCTTTCCTTTCAAAAGCTATTTGACCATCTCCAGGGCTTAGGAATTAAGAAAATAAAACTGCCAGACTGATACTACTATGTCAGACTGACAGTATGACAGTCAGAATTAGCAAACCACTGAATCTATTAACCAATCGGTCATTGGGACACAGGATGAATATTTTTTACTTTGTATAAATGAGGACTAGCAAAATCTGCAACAGATCTCACAGCGCCCTTTCTGCACAGAATTTTAAAAATGATCCAAAATACCCATTTTTCTCTTCTGTCAATAAAGGTGTGCAGTGAGGTAGCGCCAAAGAAAAGGCACATGGAACTAGGAGAAGCTCTGCTATTGATTTGCTGTGTGACTTTGGTCAGAACTCTCCCTCAGCCTCTTTGTATCTCCATGTCTGTAAGCTATAAGACAGGAGAGCTGGACCAGATGATTTCTACGTTTTCCCTCCAGGACTCAGGTTCTGGGGTTAGGTGTGTATACTGTTCTGTAAAATGAGATAGCTGGGCTATGAAGTCTAGCCCTTCCATCACTGACATTCTGCGTTTTTCTGATGGAAATGATGACTGAGGATTGGAAGGAATTAGGCAAAGAGAAGATGGATCTTTAACTTCCTGTGTTCACAAGAAAGCAAATCACTAGCAAACAGAATAAGATTTATAATTTTATAATAAGACAATCAGGAACCTGGATTAAATAAAATCTCCTCTGACCTCCAGCCCCTACTAGGTAAATACTGTTCTTTAATTCTCACCTCCTTCTTCTCAAATATGCAGCAGATTCTTGCACAAAAATGGACAACAGATTATTTTGACCCAGCAGGATTAAGCCTACGAAGCTGTAGGACATTGGTTTATGTATTTTGGAGTTGGCACGACAGAAATGTTAATGAAATTCAGCCTCATGACAGGGCTTGACAGTGCTCTCTCAGTGAACCTGAGGAATATTACTTTATTACGTGGATTGGCAGCTTGTCTGGGAAAAGTGGTTCAAATATGTCACTTTCACAGAGTGCTCTGACAGCTTGGATGGTAAAGTTTCTGCCATGAGAGACCAATGTCCTTTCACCCTGTCCAAGCTCTCGAGAAGACCGCAGGCTTATGAAAAGCTTTTCAAATTCATTTCTGAGAAAGTTCATGAAGCTATAAACTCTGGTATTTGAAGTCATAGGGACTTGAAACAGGAGGAGCATTCTTCAGAACCATGGACAGCTAGGATTCAGCATGAACATTTATCATTATTTTCACTTCAGAGGCTAGTATTGCTAATAAATCTATAACATTCCAGCACAAAAGTACAGCTGCTGACACATCAGTTTGGCTGACAACCACTGGGGCATGCAAATCAACCTAACGCCTACTTTTGAGGACTATGTAAACCAAGGAAGTATACTGAGAATGTAGCATGTGATATCTACTAACCTAATGGCAAATGAATTGGACTTTTCTTTTTAAAATTATTTTTTTCCTTTTTCTTTCAGTGTTACGGCATCACAGAAAGCAGAAAATGAACATGGTAAATACAAGAAGTAATTAATGTTATTAAGTATTTTTTCCTTGAATATATATGAAAAGATTTTGGAAAAAGACTGATATTTGCCAAACTTATGGTAATAATTTGATGTCTAAGCCATGATGGATGTGGAAACTATGGTAGTCTAAAGAGAGGTCCAATTTCCCTCCCAAACTCCATTTTTTAACACAAGAATATTTAGCCCCTTGCCTATTTGTAAAGGAAACTTCATCTAAGTCTCTATATTAAGCATCTAATAGTCAAAATTCACTTAATTTTATTCTAATTTTACATGACAATACCAATCTTGTTTTAAAATTTATCTGGTTTTTTAAAAAAAATTAATAAACATCCTAGGCTTACTATGCCTTTCTAGGACTTAGTTGCCTCATATGTAAAATGACGGCATCAGACTAAATCATCTCTACGATCTTCTCCAGCTTTGAATCCTATGATCTCATGAAACACATCAGCTTTGGTGACCTTGACATTCTTGTGTCATCAAGAAGACACTAACTACATTTAATTCCCCATACTGTTGTTTGCCACTGTGATTTTGTTGCCTTCTCTCTGTCTTTCTCAGGTCCTGTGGAGGCCCCAACAGGCCTCTTTCATGTCTTTATGCTGAGCCAGAGTGGCTCCCTTGGTGCTGATTGAGTCTTAACTCGTTCCTGACGTTTGCCGCAAGGCACCACTCTCTTACTCCAGCTCTGACTGCCCTAGCTGAGAGTGATTTTCAGTGTAAGATCTCTGCAAATCCTACAGTGCTAGCAAACATAACAAAATGTGAAGCAGTCACCTTTAGCTAAAGAAAACCTGACTTCTCTCCAGATTTCATGTCTTAAAGTAAGTAGATGAAGGGCAGGGATAAAATCCTGTTAACAAGTAGTGTCAAAACACTAATAGACTTCTTACTTTCATAAAGGTGCTCAGAGAGTCAATAGAAACTTTTGCCTCTAAGCAAGCAAAATAAAATCAATCAGTTCAATATTACGAGAAGCAGACTATGAAAAGAAGATCTGTAAAGAAGATTAATCATATCTCTGGTAAAGAGAGTCAGGAAGGTAGAGGAAGCTGCTCCTTGGCAGCCTTTGGCATATAGTGGGTTCAAGCGAAGGAGTACACAGCCCCATAGCCCCACAGCCCCACCTGGATGGAGCCCAGGTTTGGACTGCTTTGAATAATGTTTGGCCCCCTTACTAGAGCAGGATTTCTCTGGGTCCTGTAAAGCAGCACATTGCTGGCGATCTCCTCGACCTTGGGCTGTGTCTGGCTTGGTTGGAATAAAGAGCTCAGCATTCTCCTTGCGCTTGGCAGACAGATTTCTTTCCCTTTTATCTGCAAGAAAACACAAATTGTCAAACAGAAAGAAGCCCCGAATGAAGAATCAGAGGATCTGGTTTTGAGACTTAGGTCTGCCACTTACCAACTGTGTGACCTTGAGCACAAGGTCACCTCTCTGGCCCTCAGTTTCCTCATCTGTAAAACTGGGATAATAATACCTGCACAACTTACCTCCTAGGGTTGGTCAAAGGAAATTTTTCACACACACACACACACACACACACACACACACACATACACACAATTTAATAAACTAGAAAGTACTAAATAAATTGGAGCTATTGGGGGAGGTAGCCATGGTGTACAGAAAGGGGTAGTTGTCTCAAAGCAAAAACACTTAGATTCAGGTCCCAGCTCTGACACTCAAGTAGTTGTGTGACTCTATGAAAGTCAATTCTGTTTGCTGAAGAGACCTGCTTCAGATTCCTCACCTGTAAATTGGGGGTAATAACTGCATGACCTACCTCACATGTTTGTTGCAAAGAAAGTGCTTTGTAAAACACTGCAGCGTTATGGAAATGTGAGCTACTATCATGTATATTTGTCTAACAAGAATATGAACACAACTGGAGTTATGACATGTGCTTTAGGTATCAAACTAAGAAGCCACATCAGAATTCTAGGAAAGTATCAGGATAATAACTGGAATTGTTTTATGTCCATATGGTTGGTTTTTAAGTTGTGGTGACACAAAAGTCATGACTTGAGTCTGTTCTGATGCTGTCACTTATTGATGTCTGTTTTTACATCACTTTGTGGCATGTTGGGTTTCTGCAAGGGGTGGCCCATGATAGACCCAGGATAGCAAGGACTGTATGTATGCTGAACAAGAAAAAGAACATAGCAAGGCAGAGAACTCCTTGAAATGTGTTCCACCTCTTGACTCTCTCTCTCTCAACCTCTATGGAGATTGGAGCCCTCTATCAACCCTTGTTATGACACTAGAACATCTGGCAGTAGAATGCCTGGGGAATTTACTTATCTGGAATTCTGTAGATGTCGCAGTCCAGCACTGGACCCATAGGATCAATGGAAGGCTAGCATTAAGTGCTTCAGTAAGCTCCAGGGTTGGGCTCAACTTTGTCCAGATTAAAAAGGCAAGAAACACAAACCTGGGCCTACCTCCTTGCCCCACAAGATTGTTATCACATAAGACCGTCCAGTTCTGTGTCATCTCTACATCATGTATTTCCTCAAGTGTCAGGCACAGTGATCAGCACATAGGAGTACTTAACAAATGTTTGCTGAACTGAACTCATCTGAAGGGCCTGATACCTTAGACTTATGGACCTAAACTCTTGGACCTGCATGGATTATGATGCTCTCTCTTGAGTTTTTCTCAGAGAAGGCCTAGAGCCAGAAGGGCCATTTCAGACCAGTCTTGAGCTAGGCCAGAATGGTATTTGTATGTGGTCATGAGGGTTCAGGAAAACTTGGCTACATTCTCTTCCACATTAGCCTTTCTTGGGTCCATTGGCAGAGACTTAAAGGATGTTGCCCTCTGCAGTGAGAGCCAGCTCCTCCTCTTGACTGAGGTTAAAGAGCTCAGCATGCTGCTGCTGATCAAAGGCACCAGAGCTAGAAGGCAGCAGGAGGCATTGCAACTCCACAGGCACCAAGGCTCCTACACGCCTCACGATGCAGCTCCAAGCACCTCGTTTGGCAGGGTTTATTTCTCAGTTTAATTGTTAAAAATATTAAAATGTCAAGAAGCTGCATCTCCTTCCATCAAACTTGCCCCAGTACCATTCCTTTGTACCACCCCCATTCAATTGTTCTCCCTCAGTGATGGCTTTCCCTTCAAAAGCATGGAAAGGACGGGGATTCCTCCTCCCTCAATTGGCCTGTCCTGAGATCAATCAGGCTTACTGTCATCACAGCCCACCTCCCTCTTCACTTTTCTTTTCAGAGGTAATTTAATCCACAGCATAATACCACCAGTATTTCTGGTGCATTTTAAGCTAAAAATAGCCATGTTTCTGCTCATGCTTTCCCTTGCTTGGTTTTTCAGTCCACTGAGACCTGTTCCTTTGAAGCCCCAAACCTTTTGGCTCCTGTAGTCCCTGACCCCATCCTGGCCTACTCTGACGTTAAGGTAGGAGTGAGGAGTATCACTTTGAGAAATCAAGCATTAACCAAACAAAAACCATGCCACACCAAATGTAAGAAAGAGCTCACTTTTGGAAGCTGGATTCAATTCCAGTACAATGAGTGTGTTTGAGCATTCAGTATTGAATTCCTTCACCGCCTGATCCTTGGGAGCTTCTTCCATGACAGAGTCACTTCCAGAAAGTGGAAGGTCATCTCCAGAAGAGTCTAGGGTCTTATCCTCTGGCACCTGTTCTGTGAATAAGTCCTCTTCAATAGAGTCACAATCTTCACTGGAACAGTCTTTTTCTTTTTTCTGTAGACTTACACTAAGCTCCAGGCTTTTTCTCAGTTCCTAGCAGAATCCAAATAGATTTAAAAAAAAAAAAAAGAAGTAGTACTCACAGAACACCTCATTTGAAAATAATTAATTTTGGCCAAAGAAAATATTTCCATTGAAATAGCATTTAAAAAAAAATCACCACTCCCAATCCTGTTCCCCCATCCTGATATTTTGTCATAGATAGGCTTAAAGAAAGAAAACAAGACACAGGGATAAATGGGCATTTCTCTACAGAAATGGGAGTAAGGGATAGAGGTGAGGTAGGGACTGAAATTGGTTTAATTCAATATTTTTATGTATAGAGCAAAATCTCCACGAATGTAAATAACAAACATGTTATATTCTCTTGGATTCAGTTAACCATGGCTATGGAAAACCTAGCCTTTCTGGGATGAGGCCTACTTCTGCCTATGTGTTCTTAGCCCTAAATGGCAGATTTCCCAACCTGCCAATACAGTATACAGCAGAAAATAACAGCCTCTGAAATGCTAGCTTTGCACACCTAAATCTATAAAGCTAGAACTGGCATTTAATAGCTGGCATTTCTGTATCACTTTTAAGATTTACAAAGCACTTAACATACATTAAAAGGTCATAGCAAATCTTAAACTTTATTATCTCCTAGGTCACAAATTGCTTATGAGACATACTTTGAACCCATGCTGAAAGCCCACTAGTCTCATTTTTCATGCTGTCCATCTCAAATCTTAATGGAACCATGAACTGGGGACATTTGGTCCCAAATAGATACAAGTGTGCCCCAAATACTGGATTTTTAGCTTTGAAGAGTTTTACATCCCTATATCTTTTTTTTTTTAAACTGTCACATTCTTTAAAGGAGTGATTGCTTTGGATTTTCCTTCTATTAATTGCCTTTCCAAGGGTTTATTCATGTCTACACTGCGCTAGAAGTCAATCTATCAGGTCTCTCACAATAAGGAAAACATTTCTGCCTAATGTGAAATCAGTATAGTTTATTTCTAATTGTTGGTCTACTGACTCAAAAATCATCATTTAGTTTTCAAACCAAGATGAAAAGGAAACTTTAATATGACTACCTGTATGAGCCAGACATCATTTGCTATCTCAATTCACAGAAACTGCTTTGCAAGATTTGTTTTTTTTTTAATCTCATCTCAACTACATAGAACCAATGCTTATTTCAATACTTCCCAGATCTTTAATTGGATGCATACAACAACCCCTCCATGCCTCCTTAGTCTAGCAGTTCTCAAACATTTTGGTCTCAGGTGTCCTTTATGCTTTTAAAAATTATTGAGGATATCAAAGAGCTCTTGTTTATGTAGGTAATATCTGTTGATATTTACCATATTAGAAACTAAAACTGACAAAATTTTAAAATATTAATTCATTTAAGATGATAATAATAAACCCATTCATTATACATTAATTTGAATAACATTTTAAGGAAAATAATTATATTTTCCAAAATAAAATAAAATCAGTGAAAAGAGTTGCATTGTATTACACATTTTTGCATATCTTTTTAATGTGTGGGCTAATAGTCGACAACCAGATTCTTATATGTGCTTCTAGTTGAAGCATATGAAGAAAATCTGGCCTCATATAGATTTATAATTGGGAAAAAGGACAGAGTGCATTAATAGGCAAATAACATCTTAATATTTTTATTATTATTATTATGAAAAAAAGATTTGACCTTATGGACTCCCTGAAAGTATCCCAGGGACTGCCAGCATCTAAAGGCCACACTTCAAGAACACGCTACCTTAGGAGACAGTCTTCTACAGTTGCTACAGTGACAAAAATATTCATCAGCCAGTGGCCAATCTTATGTCGATGAATTTCCTTCTCACCTAGTGAGACTGGTCCTTACCCCACAGCTATATAATTCCTTGTCAGGTCCATAACTCAAGGCTTTTCTTAAATTGGCAGGACTTGCAAGGGCCCATGCTCCACAAGCAGAACTAGGGTCTCCTCTATACCATATTTAGAAACTGGGGAAAGATATTAGCTGAAGAATTTAATGTTTATTCAGCATGACTCATGTTAACTAATTAATTATTATTCTTGGCTTTGGGGCACACTTCCTGCAGGGAACATACCTTTGCTACCGATCCATGTTATCTTTGTGGAACCACAACGACAATACTGAAAGTATTCTATGCGTTTGGGACCTCTATGTGTACTGAAGTGCACGGCTGCCAGACTTCATCAGTTCATGGCCCCAGAGATAAGCAGCTGTTGACACAGGGAATGGGGAAAGAGAACAGAATGTCTTCCCCAAATTTTACTTGAAAGTGATAAAACCACCCTTGTTGTCTACTAGACTTTTTCAGTGTGAGGAGTCAAAGGCTTGATAATGAAGAATCTCTCTGTACCTTGTCACAGATGGAGGTAGTTGGGGCCCAGCATTGTGCAATGTCCCATTACTGGCTGCCAGATAGGTCTAGACTTACAAATACCAGTCTCATTAAGGCCCCATTCATTAAAATTAGCCCTTCCTCTTCTCCTCTCTACTCAACCCACATACAAACACCTCCAGTCTTACCACTAGGTAGCCCCTGTGACTAAAGTCATGGAAATTATCCTGAAAACAACTCAGCACTTTTAGAAAAAGTTCTGGATTTAAAAGTAGAAAAAGGGAAGGAATTGTGAAAAACAGAAAGAGTTTAAAGGAACTGACCCACAGGATAGATTCCCAAGCAGGGATGTTTATAGGGTAAGCCTCATACCCAAGAATATTTTCTCCCATATTACCTGATTTTTTTCTCATTCCTTTTTATTCTATTTAACATTTATTAGGTATCTACCATATCCAAGGCATCCTGCCAGGCACCAAAGAGAAAAAGACAAACATAAAACTCTCCCTACTCTCAGAGTGCTTACATTTCACTCGGAAGGCTGTTAACAGGTAAAGAAATAAGAATAAAATAAGACATGAAAGGAACCATTAAAATAAAGAGCTTTAGGAAAATCTGGGGTGTGAGAGAGGACCAATCACCACATTTCAGAGATTCACCTGGGCTAATCGTTTTCCTCTTTGAGTACTACAAAGACTTCTTTGATTGTTAAGGGGCTTTAATTAAAGCTGGATGACTTTCCTTCTAGCTGCACAGAGGGAATGGGCATTTTGACTGGGGACAAAGTAGGTACTTTTGGCATGTGGAGCCCTTTGAAGGACAGAACAAGTCAGGGTAGAGTGCCACAGTGGGAAGTTTAAGGAACATGAAGACTGGTCACTGAGGGCCTGAGGAGAGGATAGAAAGGGGGTGTAGAAGGATGCCAAGGGCAAATTTTGCCTATCTGGCTTTGTTTCCAGGGTAGGAAAAATACAAGTTTCTGTTTCCTCCTACTCCCTCCCTGAGTTGCTGGCTTAGACTAGTGCTATGAGTCTCTGATAAGAAAAATCAGGAATGCAACTCAGCTATGTTATGGGTTAAAAATTGGCAGTATTTTGGAATAACTACTAATAAGAAAGCACAGATTATAGTCCTCACCCATGCTCTCTACCTTCTCTGGGGGTCTTTTGGAAATTATTTTTTTCAATGAAGTTATCCACTGTGGATTAATTCAGGAAATTAATTCTACCTTAAGAGTGGCCCCTCTTTCATTTTTTAAAACAACATAAAATGCAATTGATAGACTGTCATCTTGGAGTATCTTTCCTCTGGGCAGTGCACCAAAAATATTTTCAACAACCTTTGGCAGCAAAAAACCAGGGCAACATTTTCTTTTCTCAGTAGGGCCTGTACTTTTATGGAAGAAAGACATTCAGAATAGCTTCTTGCTTGTGACCATTAATTCCAAAGAATATAATGTTTAATAGAATCAGATAAATCTCTCACATGTTGCTTTAAGTCTTTTGATGTAGTTGCTGGAGGCTTTTCTTTTGTTGTCATTAAATACTGGTCTTATTACTTGCTTTTACATTTTACCTGCGGCCAGTAAAGGACCTCACCTAGTGATTCAAATTATGGCCCAACTGTTTGAACAATCAAAGCGAATCTATGATTCTTTCTTGGTCTGCACTGGTATAATGCTGAAAAGAGATCTTACCATTACATCATGAATAGTTAGGAGTATCCTTTCTTTGTCTGCATCGCAGTGGGGGTCTGATTGTCCATGTGTACTCAAAAGGGAAAAATTAAAATCACAGGGAGTGCTGTTGGTGGGATAACTGGGATTCTAGAGACAAAGAACAGGGTGTAGTCAAAATTCTTTATTGTTTCTCAAGTTATAAAATATCTCATGCATGGAAACTGATGTTTTCTTGAAGAAGAGAATTTCAGAGCTGAAACAGACCTCCATAGCCATTAGCCCAACCTATGTTTGATCAAGAATCTCCTCTACAACATATCAAGCAAATGGTCATTAAACCTTTGCTTGTAGATCTCTACTGAGAAGGAACATGATACTTCCTGAGGCAGCCCATTCACTTTTAGATAGCTCTAATTGTTAGGAAGCTTTCCCTTCAATCATGTTTAAATCTGTTCTATATTTTGTTCAACTTCCATTTGTTCCTCTGAATTTTGCCCCTAATTTGATCCTCTTGCTTGTGACAGTCTTTAAACTCCTTCAAGAGAACAGTCACATCCACCACCCACTCCAAGTCTTCTTTTCTTCAGGTTAAATGCATCCTCAGTCCCTTCAACTGCTCTTCATGTGGCCTAATCTTTCTATGCTTCCCCCCATCCTGGCTGCCCTCCTCTTTTGGCTCTTCAGCTTGTTAATGTGCTTCCTAAACTGTGGTTCCCCTGGAGATGAACACAACACCCTAGAGGTAGTATGACCAGAACTGAACACAGCACAGCCATCATGTCCCTAGGCCTACCTATGAGGCAGACTACAATGGCAGCTGTTTTTTGGCAGCCCTATCACACTGCTGACTCATATTGAACTTCCAGTCCCTCAGGAGCAGGCTAAATTGACATAACTGTACTAAAAAGGCAACTGGAAAGCTAATTTCAAGTTTATTAATCCCACCTTCAGGGTGTTTAGCTAATCAGGTGGAAATGTAAACCAAATTAATCTTTTCTCTGTCAAATTCATATCTGACGATATGCCAAATACTTGACATATCATAGATTAGCGCAATGGCCTTCCAATTAGACTCAAGTCTTTCTCCACACCAGTCCGTCCTCCACAAAGATGCCAAAGCTGTTTTCTTTAAACACAAGCTTGACCATGTCACTCCTTTATTCAATAAAAGCCAATGACTCCCTATTGCTTCTAGACTAAAATGTAAATTCCTTATTTAGCTTTTTAAAGACCTTTACAACCTGGTTCCAAACTAACTTTCTAGCCTTACTGGATATTATTCCCCTTCCCACATGATATGAGCCAACTAAACTGGACTTTTCTCTTTTCCTCATACATACCACTCAATTGCCCATCTCCATGCTTTTGCTCTAGCTGTCCCCCATGCCTAGAATGCACTCCCTCCTCATCTCTGTCTTACAGAATCCTTCTCTCCCTTTAAAACACAGCACCATGTTTTACATGAAGCCTTTCTTGACCCCCCAGCTGCTAGTATGATCCCTCCCAAAACGTCTTGTACTCAACTACTTTGGACTGATTTATGTTATGCTATGTTCTGTTCTGTTCTATTCTATTCTATTCTATTCTATTCTATTCTATTCTATTCTATTCTATTCTATTCTATTCTATTCTATTCTATTCTATTCTATTCTATTATTGAATTTTGCTCAGTAGGCAACAGAGAGCCACTATAGATTTTTGAGCAAAGCAATGACAGAGCCACATCTATGTATAAAGAAGCTTCTTGCAGCTATATGAAGGATAGACTTGAAGGGGGAAAGTGAAGGCAGAAGATCTGTTAGGAGGTTATTATAATAGTCTTGGAGGGTGGTAATGAGGATCTTACTAGTGTGATGGCAGTAGAAATAGAGATGATAGATGTGGGAGATTCCAGAAAGGTAGAATCAACAAGACAAGGTGACTGACTGGATATGAGAGGTGAGGGAGAAGGGATCAAAAATAATCCTAAGATTTTCAATATGGAAGACTGGGTAAATGGTAATATAGCTAGGTCCCAATTCGCACAAATAATGAATCCCACGATATGGTGGCATTATTCAAATTCGCACCGCATATTTCATTGGGCTGGAAACCATGACCATATTTTATATAATTATAACTTTGAATAGTACAGATTTGAAGATGTGACCACTTCAGCAGAGTATATTTCTTATCACAACAGGTTGAATTTGAGGTGACAGTGGAACATACAGGTGGTGAATATTCTGTGGGCTGCCTATTAGAGACTTAGATCTGGAGTTCAGAAGAGAGGTCAGGATTGTCTATATAAGATTAAGAAGTTATCTGCACAGAGATGTGGGAGTATATGAGCCTGCTGAGAGAGACAGCATGGAGAGAAGTGAAGAGGGCCAAGGACAGACCCTGGAGGAATATTCACATTTAGGGATTGGGAAGAACTTGACATCTGGTTTATTTTGAAAATGTCTAACTCCAAAAGGATTCCAAAACGACTTTCCTACTTTTCAAAGTATCTTTAGGCTATTCAGTCTCTCAATAAGCATATGTCTTCATCTGAAAACAGTATGATCAATGGTATCCTGAACTTTACAAATAGTCACTTTAAAGTAGAAAACAACATTCTGACTCAACTCCCTGGGAATAAACGTTGGGGTTGACTTTTCCTCCTTTAGTAGTGGAATTCCTTAGCCCTCTTGCACATTATTTACCGAGTTCCCTTTTCCAGCTCTACCACATTCAATTGGTATTGTTACATTTGTTACATGTTACAAGCGGAGGTAATTATACCACCATTACTACTGACTCATGTTCACCTAGCACGTTAAAGCTTGAAAAATACTTTGTATAGGTTATTCTCACGACCAACCTGTGAGATGGGTACTGTTATTATCCTTATTTCACAGAAGAGGAAACTGAGGCTGAAAGAAATGAAGGGTTAAGGATTAAGAGATTACGCAGGGGGGCCAGCTAAGTGGCACAGTGGATAGAGCACTGACCCTGAAGTCAGGAGGACCAGAGTTCAAATCCAGCCTCAGACCAAACACTTGACACTAGCTGTGTGACCCTGGGCAAATCACTTAACCCCAGTTGCCTTAGGGGAAAAAAAAGAGATTAAGCAGGAGGTCACACACAAGTCAGTTCATGAGGTGGGATTTCAATCCATATATTCCTGTCTCGAGTCCAGAGCTCTATCCGTGCAGGAACACTGATAGACACTACTGTTACAGGATGGGAAGTGTTAGAAGTGATGGCTGGCTGGTCCAAGGAAATCCACCCTGGCTTAGAAACGCCTGGGAATAGAATCTAGAGTAAATCTGATGCTATCATCTTTTTTCTTTTATGAATAATCCCAAATAATCAGATAATTAGAATAGCAATAACAGAGCAAACACTCCAGGGACTACCAATAAGCTCAAGTACATAACATAATCAATCGTTCACTTGCTTTTGCTTACATAGCTAGTAGGTGTGGAACCAAAGGAGGAATGAAACTACATTCTATACAAAAGGGTGGTCAGCAGCCAGTCAAACATAAACAGAATGGTGAAGCGATTCAGACAAAGGCCTGGCACCCTCAAGGCTTCAGTTATGGAGCACTGGATCTGGAGCTAAAGATGCCACTTAATACTGGTGTGAGCTTGAGGATACCCTTCCTTTCTCTGGGGCTCAGCTTCTGCATCTCTGAAAAGAGAAGATTAGACCAGAGGACCTCTAAGGTCACATCCAGGTCCAAGTCCATGATTTTGTGATCCATGAATCCTACAGTCTCACAGAATCCTACAAATGGCAAAATCAGGTCTCAGCCCTGCATGTGACAGAAGAGGAGACAGAAGCCCCAGGCAGGGAAGGAGCTCCTAATGAGACAGCCAGTGTGTGGCAGGACAGAGTTTACAATCTACTTCTTCAGAATCCTACTTGTTCGTTCTTTACGCCGTGTGACCCTGCCTCCTACCTAAGCTGGAGCTGCTTGGCTTGTAAGGTAGGATGTATTTTTGGACACCTGCAGACAAATGTTTATGCGTCAGTCTCTTCACCTTTGGAAGAAAGATAAGATTAGGTAGATGCATATCCTATGTAGCCTGAAAATGCAAGATAGCGGATCCAAAGAGTGCAAGCTGGGTCTTTGAGACGTGAGATAGTTGCTTAGTCACTAAAGTATCTTTTCTTGACTAAGTAATAGATGCCATGTTAAATAAGGTTCTACACATTACTAGCATCTCATCCAATTTTTATTATTTTGAGATTCTCTGATGAAACGTATATAAATTAAATATTAATTCAGTCTTGGAGAAAACTACTTGATCATATACTTGTAATGAATATATAAGGTTAACTCTAAATTGGGAGTGATTTTGTTGGTTTGCCTGCCTCCTACAAGAATGAAGGGATGCTAATAACACTTTTCTATGCCTTTAAATTAAATTAAAATATTTATTAACTAATTAAATTCAAAAAATATTTATGAAGTGTTAATATGTAGAATCTCTGTCCACTGATGCAGACCAGAAACTCTCTTAGAAAAGCTGCCTGGGATCATCTGTAAGAGGCATGTTTGAACACAGGTCTTCCTGACTCTAAGGCCAATACTTAGGTGCTGGGAATGCAAAGATAAAATAAGATACATCTCTGCCTTCAAACTGGGCACCTACGTGGTGAGTAGATAGAGTGCTAGGCCTCAAGGCAGGAAGATTCATCTTCCTGAGTTCAAATCTGACCTCAGAGACTTACTAGCTGTGTGACCCTGGGCAAGTCACTCAGTCCTGTTTGCCTCAGTTTCCTCACCTGCAAAATGAGCTGGAGAAGGAAATGGTTAACCACTCCAGTTATCTGTACCAAGAAAACCGAAAATGGAGTCACGAAGAGTCAGTTATGACTGAAACAACTGAACAATAACAACTGCTTTCAAGTAGTTTATAATAGGTGGGATAAACTATCTATGCAAATATTTACAAAGAGATACGAAGTCCAAATGAAAATATGGAGGAGGAAGAGATTATTTTCAGCTACGGGGAGTAAGATCAGATCAGGAAAGTTTTCATGGAAAAGATGGCACCAGAATTGGACACTGAAAGAAGAGAGGGATTTCCACAGGAAGGATCCTTCCTTTCACAGGAGGATTTCCATAGATAGAGATAAGGGTGGCAGGGAAGCAGCCCACTTCAGGAATG